TCTTGGTGCGCTCGTGAGCGCCATGAGCCATCAGCATGTTTGCCATGTGGTGGGTGCTCCGGCTGGAACTCGGGCTGCTGTTGATCATCAGTTGCTTGCTACACTTTACATAAGCTCTCGGGGATTTTGAAGACATACGATAAAGACATGACGCACACAGACAGAGGCACACACACAGCCATGTCTTACTGCGAGACTGTGTGGCACTTTTCTGTTCGTGTTTGACCAGCCGTCAGTTTTTACATCTGACCGCTTTGCCGTGTGCCCTTGTCTTTTTAACACTCATCACCTGGTGAATTGGGGGCGGGTCAGTGTTGGATGATCTACGCCTGGCAGTTGAGAGGTGTAAGGGGGTTGAAGAAAATCGGATGCGCAACCGGCATTAATCGAACCTGAAGCACAATCCGCACCAAACACACATCGGTCGGTTGGTCTTCCGTGACACCACTCGTGCTTCAGAACGATCATGCATGCGCCAAGCGGTGCACATGGCACACGGTAGGTTGCAAGACAAGCTGCTGCCACGGCTCGATTTTAGAGTTAACGGGACATTTGGCAGCGAGGGGGCATCCGGATGGCATTCTCTCCGCAAGAGCCAAGTGTTCGCGGGGTTGCTGTCGCCTGTCCCAAAACCATTTGACGGCTGAGACGTCGAGACACATACGTAGACGATGATGTAGACAAGCAGCGGTGATCTGACCCCATGTCTTATTTTCTTCTCGTTCGGAGTAATGAGGCCCTGGACGAGCTCCTCACTCACTCACCCCATTATCGACGGTGAGCCGCTTTTGATGGAGCCCCGTCGAAGATCTCCCAAGGATCCTACGAACATCACAATGGCATTGCCTGGGATATTCCGGATGTTTTAGCAAAGAGATGCACCGCGCGTCGTCTGCTTACCGGGGTCGTTTTCCAACGCGGGAGCGCAGTGCCGGCTTCAAACGACATCATCGGCCGTCATGGTGGGATCCCAAGTTCCCGTCCGGGTGCGTGGGATGTTCTTCGAGATCAGCACGGCGGGGACCCCAAACCAGCGGTCGCAGCATTACGGCAACGTGCTTCAGTTGCTGACCAAGACGCCCCGAGGCGGCGTTTCTGGGATAATACCCGAAAGACATCGAGGGCGATCACCGCGTCCACCGCGTTAGTGCACTTCGGCTAGAGGTACAAGGGCCCAAGAGGCCAGCCCAGCCCTTCTGCGTGTTCCCTTGTACCGGAGATGAGCAGCACACGCAATGGATTGGTCGACAGAGAGGGAGGGAACGCCTCACCGGTGAGCCTATTCACAGATTCGTCGTGTGTGTGTGAATGTGGCCCGGAGTCGTTACATCGGGAACAACTGCACCGTGGTCCGAGACCGACCTTCTCGCACCTCTCTGCAGCGTAGACAGACGATCTACGTTTCCAACGTTGCACCACTACGAGAGAGCCGGACTGCCAGCACAGTAGCCCGGTGTTTGGTAGGTGACCATCCGCAACCGGTGGACGGGCTACAACTACAGCTACTGCACCTACGAGCGTGCCGCCTTGGGGGGGGGGGGGGGGAGGAGGGAACGAAAATGAAGGGCTATATGGGGGCCACGATATGACCTACGGGCAATCAAAAGAGGCTCCGAGGTACGACCGCTTCGCGCCGTAGGGTACCCCATACTGCAGGGTCAACACGCCGCAGCAGCAGTCTGCATGCGCGCGCGGGGGGGAGAACCGCCTGGGAAAGGGAAGGGATACGTCGATACGAAAAGCCTGGCGGGTGTGCCACACACACTCTCACACACACACTGGCCCCGATCTGGATGGACGCCGTTTCGTTTGGCACCAGCTAAGCTCAACGCAGGCTGGTGCTTCAGCGAACCAGAGCAGGCCCGCCCACGGCAGCCTGTCTGTCGAAGAGGACTCGCTGGAGGACCCCTTGTCGAGCAGAGAGATCTGTGATGTGCCAACGACGCCATCGACAACGGAGGAGGCGGGTGCGCTGGGGACTCATGTTCGCGCTAGCAGCTTCAAAGCCCGACGACGTCGTCCACTTCAAACCCCGAATCACGGGACTTGCGCTCCATGTCGTTCGGTTCGGTCTTCGAATGGATCCCTTTCTCTCTCTCTGGCTGGGCTCGTTGAGGACAAGAAGATCGTCACTCTTGCGTGGGGAATTAATTGCTTTCTCTCGATACGGAGGCCGAGTCAAAGCAACGGGGGCTGCCGGCCTTAACAGCCAGCGAGCAGAAATAATCCGTATCGAAACAAAACGATTCAACAAGGTTCGCCGATTTCATGCGGGTGCTGAGTCGTTGACAGGTGCTCATTAAAGCCTAGCCAAAGTCAAATAGACGTGGATGGCCGGCCTGGCGGCGATCTGCAGCCGCTGCAGGTTCACGAACCACGCAGGCAGAAGCTACTTCATCTACTTGGGAAGGTTTATTGTTTCTGGCCCTTCATTTCCCGTGCTTCTTGAGATAGATGGATGGGTGTGTGAGTGCCTCGCAGCCAAAGAAATTGGGCGGATTACGTAGCCCCAGCGTCGAACCAACGACGCGGACAGCCAAGAGAAGGGTGATGCTGTTGGTGCTCGCACATCACGATCCTCTCCATAGTGGGGATCACCAGCTGCTGCCGATTGGCGAGAGAACGAGATGTTACACCGATGGGAGATGGAGGTTGGGGGGGTCATCCCACGACGAAGGGCAACGACAATCACGACAGATACTAGGTACAGCAGACAGCCAGACAGACAGCCCATGGGGCACCCGCTCGACAGAAGCCAAAGCGGGATGACCAGCCGTTAGGCATCATGGAGTATACATACTACTTCATAGTATGAAGTATGTCTCGGTGAATATGAACAGTGAGCAAGTTAAACAGTTAACTATGCAGTAGTATGTCGGCCAACGGCCCAGCAATGTTCAAGTGCCAGCGTCTAGTAAGGCACTGGCAACCACTAGAGGATTCCATGGCGGTTCTGGTGTGAGTCTAGCGTGATTCGCGGCGGATAAACGACTTGATCGGTGCTAGCACGCGGCAAAGCGGTCCCTTAGCAGAAGAAGCCATCGCCAGAGAAGGCGATGGCTTCGTCCGGGACATGGTTAACACACAGCCGGCGCGAGGAAGAAGCAAGCAACGGCCGGTCGGCCCCCCGGCTCAGGTCAAGCCACGCACGCCTTGCCTTGCCTCGCAACGCCTCGCCTCGTCACACCCGCCGTCTCTTAATAAGCTTGGTGGTGGTGTAACTGAGTTTGTTCACCGAGGGCGGAGGGAGAGTCTTCTTCACGGCTAGCTAGCTCTAACGGAGTCTCACAAGAACAGCGGAGTGTCTCTCTCTTACTGAGCAAGGTCTCGCAGTGTCTCTGGCTCTTCACGTGCTATGGCGCTAAACATTTCGCGAAGTTTGACACGGAGGCGCTAGACGACGCCTTCGCCAGCCATCCTCTCAAGCGAAGTCTGAAGTCTGCCCTTCGTCTCAACGTTCCCCGTCGCCCCGTCCGCCCCGAGGTTGGCAAACGTGATAAGCCTCTGGGGGGTACGTGTTCCTCATTCTCCAAGAGCCACCGCCAAGATGTCGTCAGGTCTCAGAGAGGCTCTTCCGTCACAACGTAACGCACATGGCGATATGCAGAATGCCAATGCAGAAGAATGCGAAAAAAAACGCTATTCGAGTCGCAGCCACAGACACAGATACAGACAACATGCCACTGCGGCCACACACAAAAACAACCACACGCATCAACTTGCTTGCTCTTGTGCCGGCGTTCATACATCGGCAACTCTTGCTCCCATAAGCCACACGTTGTCACAAAACGTCAGAGCAGCCGGAGCTGTCACGGGCGGAAAGACTTGGGACGACATCGGCGGGACAAGACGTGACGGGGCCTGTCACTTGGTCTTCAGCAGCAATAACGGACGAGTCAACGCTTCATCCGATCGCATTCTGATGCACGATCGTGCCTGAGAAACTCTCGGAACTCGACGTCTTGTTCATGCCATGGCCCGCAGAAGAAGGGCAGCCCCCAGCCCTTTCTCCAACCCAGCAGTCTTTCCCTGGCATCCTGTTGCCGTTCCGTGTGCATCCCATTCCCATTCCAAAACCCTTTCCTCCCATCTTGCCCCCGACCCTCGTCTCCAAGGTCGATCACGGACCCCTTTCGCCGGGGCAGTAAGAGCCAAAGAGAGGCACAGGCACCCTGCAGCGGACAGGGGAACGACGAGACATCGTGGTCGGGGCCCGGGGGATCATTTGTTTTGGGAAAGCAAGCACCAGCCCAGAGCAAGAATCACTCACTCACACACACACACACACACACACACACAAGAATCCGAGTATCAGCGGCAGAAGGAGAGCAGAGACGCGGAGCCAGAACCCAGACTTGGTTCCTCTCCTCCCCATGGCCATGCTCTCCCATGCCCTGCCCTCATCCTTGCAAGGTTCAAGCCACCCTGCGCAAGCGAGGGGGGCTTTCCTGGCGCCCGAGCTAAACTGAAGATCATATTGAAATTAGCCTTTGTTTCCGACCGTCTGTTTCTCTGCCCCCCCCCCCCCCCCCCCCCCCCCCCCCCCCCCCCCTTTCACACACCCTTCGCACACATCTCTCGCACCCCCTCATGCCATGCCAATATGGAGTCTTCCCCCTCTTCAGGAAACAGTCTCTCGGCGCCCCGTGTGCCCCAAATTCCCCTATCGATGCCGTGCCGTCTCTTTGACGCCGCCGCCGTCCGATCCTCTCCCAAAGATGCCCACCACCGATGGAGATAGACGGGGTCACACGAATGTCGACATGTCAGAGCACACCGACGGCAACCAATGAAGGAGTTTATTGAGCCACTGACAGCAACTGACGTGCGCGGCCCTTTCGCACGGCCGCCGCTGCAAGCGATGTTGACGGCGCCGACTTAGCGGGAGCGCCGGCCTTCTGCGAGTTTGCGGCGACTACGGGAGAGCGTCGCTGGGCGCTTCTGGATGCCTCCCAAGCCACCGGCCGAGGGTCAGGGACTTCAGGCTGTACTCGCAAACTCTATCTGGGATGCGTCGAGTTGTCCTGGTAATTGCGATCATTTGGCGGAGGGAGGCCCGTCTCTACTGGACTGAACTCAAGTTCCCAACAGTCTCCATTGTCCATTTCGGCCTGCTGCCCGACCCGAACGCCTGGCGAGCGCTGTCAATCACTCAAAACCCAAAGAGATGATCTTCACACACGAACTTGCGGACGCCAGAATCCCGCCGCAACGTCTTTCTCGGCTTCGCCAAGCGGTAGTTGCCTGAACGCTGCGACGCACACACGACATGTTCAGAGCAATCCGGCTCTTGCCGTTGCAAAGTGCGCCTCTCACGAGTGTCAACGCCTCGGGTTGGCTCGTCGCCAGCATCCGGCATGAGATGCCAAGACGTGCCGTTTCCACCTCATGGACTTTGCCGTTAAGCTTGTCTAAAAGAGCAGCAAGATGGGCGACAATCAAAACAGAAGAGCACACATCATTATGCTCTCTGCCGCTCCTGCCTGCTTGCCTTTCCTTTCCAACCCTGCAGCAAATCCGGAACATTATTGCAGTTAATGTCCCATGATCGGGGGTTGGGGGGGATGGGGGTTTGCTGCCGTGGGTGCTCCGGCACTGACCTCTTCCACCCCGGATGAGCGGCGGACATCAACGTAGAAACAACATATCGTGTGCCAGGAGATGCCAGTTGAGACAAGATTGGGATCATCTCGCATCGGCGGCAAGTTGAGAAAGAAGGAGAAGTTTGGATCTGACAGCATGCATCATGAACATGCTCCATCCCACAGATCAGGAGGAATTCTGGAACAACGACACCAGTCATCCGAACATGGGACCCAGCACGGCACGTCGAGGCACCGTTGCCCCCTCTCGCAGCCTTGGGATGACGTTCTGGCATCTGCACACACGAAGCAGAAGCGACGAACGGCATAAGATCAGCTCGACAATCCGGTCGCAGCACAGGGCTGGCAGGGTATCGATGAAGCTCTTGGGGCCTCACACGCCGCACGCCCCCCGACGTCAGTCAGGTACCAGAGTCCCCGTTGCTCGTCTCAAGTGCGTGCGTGTGTGCGGAGCAGCAAGAAGAGTCTGTGGGTGCGTGCCCACGGCTGGCCATCCCCGTCCGCGAACACCAGACGCAAGATGAGAGAGTGACTGCGAGAACAACCTTGCACCTTGTCTATGCCGACCCCTCGGGCCCCTGTCCCAAACACACAAGCCTTCGTGACAGGACAGGGGACACTAAACCCTGTCTGCCCCGTTCTCGGAACGGGACAGAGATCCAGATTGGGAAATGGTGGCCCGAGTGGTGCCATGCATAACAGCTCTGGATTCGGATTAGCTCTGGGCGTGTTAGCGTCCTTACGCACCACGGCCGTGGGAGGGGGGAGCATGGGAGGTGTGGGCAAGGGTGTGGCATGAAGATGTGTGTGTGTTAGAGAGAAGGGCAAGAGGGCGTGTGGCCAAGACATGTAGGGGACTCTCTCAGTACATTCCCGTGTGGGAGGAGAACGCCTCCTCGTTCTGAGAGAGGCCCTGACGAGCAGCAGGGGTGCCATGGCAGACGGCTGGGGTGTCTTCTGGACCAACAGACCCTGCCGTTGCATAAACCAGTGACCGTTTGACCTCGAGCGATCCCATTGACGTTGATCCCAGACGGGGGCCAGTCTCCCTCGATCTCACCCGCAATCCCGGCTGCTGCCACAAGCCAGCAACACGGATACCCATTACCACCAACCAGCAGGCACTCGACAGTCACTCTCTTTTCTGCCCAGGGAAGAGGCAGACAAGACATTGCTGAAGTTGTCGTTGCTGCGTATTGTGCCCGAGCAGTAGCAGAGCAGTATCTTGATCATCGCCATCATCAATAACAACAACATCGACCATTGCTGAGAATCCCAAGTCAGAGAACACAAAGCGACCACCCTTAACCCCGTCATCCCATAATCCAGGAGACGCTATAGCCAGGAGGTAGGTTCAGGTTCAGGTTCTCTCTCGCTCTCTTTCTTCTCCTTCCTCCCTCGTCGAGTCCCCCAGTCATGTCTACCTAGTACCGATGACCCCGTCTTCCCTCCCCTTGTCATTCAACCTCGCAGTACGACGAGTACGTACCTTGTCGATGACCCAGGACGAGGACCTTGGACTGACCCTTGCTTAGCTGCCACCGACTACAACACACCCATGCCTTTCGTCTGGTCCCAGGCCTGGCGTAACGGTCCCAAGACTTATCCCACTCTCTCTGCCTCTGACCCACACACAATTTGTGACAGGCGATTGTGGCATCCCATCCTCCAGGGATCATCGTGTGGATTTACGCTTGATCACCCATTCCACTCTGCTTCGGGAGATCTGATATACTTGCCTCCCCCATCTGCCACCTCTACTCCATCCACCCACCAACAAGCTTCTTTGGCCTGGCCATTTCATACTTAAACTATCCACCCTCCCCTTCCCCTCATCGAGTTCCTGTCCTGGAATCTTGGAATCCTCCGAACCAAAAACAATCTCTAGTATCCAGCTGGCACTTGGGCTAATCACTACTCTACACCTAATACTTGTTGTGTTTCTTAATATTCAACGCCGACAACCATCGCCCTCTCGTCACTCTCCAACCGACGAATACCATCAAGACAAAAGACCAAGCAAGGAACTACTACACGCCAGCAAATCTCAGCAACCCAAGTCAGAAAAGACTTTTTTCCAGTCCTCTAATCAGCAACAATGGCGAGCGCTTTAATATCGAACCCGTACGCTGCTCACCAAAGCGCACACTACGGATACGTCCAACCGCCTCAACCTCCTCCTTCGCCCCCCATGGACGAGACATCAAAGCAGTGCTCTCTCCCCTCCATCTCGAACCTGCTCGGCCTCGCGGACCAGGGCTCTCCCACATCCGAGACTCACCCTCAAATCCCCCAACAAGGTACGGAGCGAACAGGACAACGACCAGCGAGCCCAGCAACACCCAAACTGACTCACGGAACAGCTTCCTCCCAAAAGTCCGAGACGAGACCAAACTCCTCTCACTATGGCAGCTCCGCGATGCGAGGTCTCCCTCCCACGCCGCCCATGAGCTCTGACGCCTCCTTCGACGGCTACAACTCGCCCTCGACAAGATCCGTCAGCCAGCTCTCCGTCGTCTCCCAGCCCCAGAGCAACTACTACTACGAGTCGACGCCTCCCCTCGAGGCCGACGCCCACCGCCCCATGGCTCCCGTCGTCTCGAGGGTCCCCGTCCAGGCCGCCTACGCCCAGCCTCAACCCTTCCCTCCCGCCTACATGCCCGCCCAGAACCCCATGGCGGCATCCTACTACCCTCCCATGCAACCCACGCCTCCTCCCCAGGCCCAGATCCAGGGCCTTTACTACCAGCGCCCTCTGCCCCAGCAGTTCCCTCCCATGGCCGCCGTCCCCGTCGGCATGGGTCCCAACCCGGGCGCCAACCCGTGGCAGCACCACCACTACATCTCCCCCTCCTCCGCGGCGTCCTTCCCCCAGAGCCAGGACCGCTACATCTGCCAGACCTGCAACAAGGCCTTCTCCCGCCCGTCATCCCTCCGCATCCACAGCCACTCCCACACCGGCGAGAAGCCCTTCAAGTGCCCGCACGCCGGCTGCGGCAAGGCCTTCAGCGTCCGCAGCAACATGAAGCGTCACGAGCGCGGCTGCCACAACTTCGAGAGCGGCAGCAACGGCTCATCAATGTAATCTGTTGGATCGAGTCGCCTTGATCCAATCTATATAACGGACTTTTATTGTTCTTTGCTCCATTTCCATTACTCTCTCTCTATATCACGACCAACAACGACAAATCGGGGTTTATCCAAAGGGGATGGCTAGAATCAAACATGGGTTGGCACACACACACAAAGAGTCGGGCAAGAGGGGTGGGCAACCGGGGGGTTTCCGGGTCCGGTTTCATCGGGAAAGATACCACGTGGTAGACGACTACCACGACCGCAACTTACAATCACGCCTTGGAATATCAACATCCACACACAAAATACATAATCAGCAACGAGGAACACAAAAAAAACCACACCCAAAAAAAGGAAAAAACATCAACGAAGGCCCTTGTGTTATCAAAGGCGTTTCAACAATGATGGGGCGGACCCGAATTCGACGGTCTGCCCCTCTGGGAAGAAAGAGTACGAAACAGGAGGGAGACGACGAAATCTTAACTGGGATGAAATCGGAAGGGGAGGGGTTTGGCTTCTCCTTCATCAACATGTGTTAACTCGGGAACAAACTTGTTTTACTGGAGCAAAGAGGCGTGAATCATGGGGCTGGGGGGCAAAACAACTGGCAGCGGACACGAAGTCCCGCCAGGCAATGACAAAACTTGGCATTTACAGGAGTTTTTTTTTCTTTTCACAGAGTTCAGTGTGGTGGTGTGTGTGGTTCAAAACCAAGTCGAGGTCCGGGTTCATTTCCCCCTTGGCAGTGTTTTGGAGTGGTCTTTTTTACTTCACTTATTTCCTTATTACACCTTCGTCCTTTTTTGGTACAAAAATTATGTACGATTATGTGGTAATGTATATAGAACGGAGAAGAATCCTCACAGAATCGACAAGAAGTGGTCAAACCAATTATCGTTCCGTTCCCAACTCTTGTGATATGTTGCATCATCGCTACAAGTAAAAGTTGGGGCTCTTGCTTGGTATGGGGGATGGGGGGTGTTCCTCTTGTGTAACCTAGTCACATCTTCGTCTCAAGTGTTGTGGCGCGTGTTGCGCTTGCGGGTTGTGGGTGTTTTTTTTTTTTTTTTTTTTTTTTTCTTGTCTTAAGGTGGGCTTGTGTCGCAGTGAGGCGAACTGTGCCTGTTGACCCCCAGCAGGAGGAACAGCACAACACAGCAGAAGGGCGAACAAATGACCGAAGAACCGGCTTGATCCGAGCATCTCGCGCATCTTCCTTCTTCCCAAGCGAATTAACACACAGACATTTGGTAATCACAAGAAACATCAATTTTACTCGGTTGAGACCCAGTGAGTTTAACGCATGAGACCGGACGGAAGCCGCGCCGATCGCTTCATCGTGAGATGACAGCTCGCTGACACATTTCGAAAAGGGAAGAAAGGGAAAAGAAAAAGAGCATATCCGAGTCGAACTCCTCGGCCCTTCTCCGTTCCACCCCTTTTCTCCGCGGCGATCTTCTTCTCTAATTGGGCCTGCCTGCCAGGTTTGTTCCGGATGTGGCAGCAAAAGTAAAAAAGAGGTGTGGTGTGGTGTGGTCTTTTGTGATGCCGCGGAGAGAAGTGCGAACAGAGACGAGACTGAAGAGGGGAATTGATGAGCACGGCAGAGCAGGGTAGGACGGGCCGGGGTTCGGGCGTTTTGGGGGAGGAAAGGGCAGATGATCGACGCTGCAG